ACACCACATCAGGGTTTCTTGCCACCAGCTATATATTCAACCAGAAGATAAAATTTGGACCACAATTTGATGAGGGTACCCACGTCAACTCAGATCTAGATCACAATTTCAGTTCAGAAATCTAAATCTTTGTGCCTTTCATTGCTTATCCTTAGAAATAAGCAAAGTACTTTGTCAAAACATGAGATTTTCAGGCGTCGTAACCCCTGTGAGGGAAATTATGGTACCAAATATCAAATAGGTGGAGGGATATACTGTATCGCTTTGAAGTTTAATATTGCTCTTGTTAGGTTATCTAGTCATGCACTGTCTGAGCCACTGCCTCTGCAGAAGTCATGTCAGTGTCTTGACGTTGTGGCTTTGATAGTTTAATATATTTTAATATATACATATATATATACACACACACACAAACTCTGCTGAGTTTGGTCCTATCTTCTAGAAACTCTGAAGCAGCAACCACTAATAATACTGTCTTGAAATTGTTAAGTAGGCAATTAAGTCATAATAGTACCCTCTTTTTTATTATATTTCACAGTGGTCCACAAATCTCTTTGTGAAACCATGTGCTGTGTGAGCTTGCTGACAGCTTTTGCTGACATAAAATAGCTCTGATAAACCCTGATAGTTCTGAGAGCAGGAAATTGAAGCATGAAAAGGCTTCCTTGCTTTTTGTCACCATTTTCTCTAGGGTTGCTTTGCCAGTTGGCATCTCTTTTTTATCATGTTGTCCTATAGAAGAAACCAGGAGTAATGTTTTGCCTTGTTCCTTAACACTTGCCTCTGAGGGTTTGCTATGATGTTTTATAAGTTTTAAAGACCCCAAGATTAATCTTCAAGGACAGAGGACAAAGAATAACATCATGTGTCTGGTTTACTAGTTCTATATTTTCATGTTAGTCTCACTAATAATGTTAGTGCAATGTTTCACACAGTGAGGGTTAATCCGGAACGGATTAACCTCGCTGTGCGAGGCACCACTGTATTTTCATGTTAGTCTCACTAATAATGTTCAACATGACCCTTATACCAGTTACTTTAGATTTGAGGCATAGGACAAGGAGCAGTGCTGGGTAGTGGGGAATATATAAAAGAAGACAGTAGGAATGTAGTTATTTGTGGAAAAGAGGGAGAGATATGACTACTAGCCATGCTAGTCTTTTGTACAAAAGTGCTGGAAACTTGTGTGACTTTCAAAGGGCCACTTTCCATGCTGCAGGTGACTGTAGTTCTTTTAGCTGTGATCTTGAGAATAAGATATGTGTACTAAAATACAGTGGTGCTGGCGGTCCCCGGGAGGCCTCCCACGGTGGCGGGGAAGCCCGGGCTTCCCCAGCGGCAGTCATTTTTTGGGGGGTATTTTTTTCTTCTGCTGGAGTGGATCCGTTGCTTTTCAGTGCATTCCTATGGGAAATGGTGCTTCGGCTTAGAAAATTTCGAGGTATGGCCACCCTCCCAATACAGATTAATTCCATAAGTCAAGGCACCACTGTATGTTACCTTGGGTCTGCCTGCAGTTAGCAAAAGCACAATGACCCTGGAGACTTAAGACCGCAGCATGTCTTGCTTTACATGTATTTGAGATAGCAGACGTAATATTTTCCGTGGTAGCAGGACCCACTTCACTTAGTATTGTTTTTCCATAAATGTGATGGGAAGCAAAGTGGCTCCAAAAGCATTAAGAATAGGTTATGTTTGTTTGCCTTAACTTTTCTCTTTCTGCCCTTGAGTTTCTTCTTCCCCCATTCTCTACCTCTGTTGGCGACTTTTGCTTGCAGTCCCTTTGCTGGTACAGTCACCTGCCTTGTATTTTTTCTACTTCATTGAGCCTGCTTTCTGTTCCTGCAGTCTCTTTGCCTACGTACTGCTGTTCTTGCTTTCTTATCTTTTCTTGCTGCGTCTCACTGTGCTCCTTTCTGTCACTAGGACCCCAAGAGCTCCCCTCTGCTTCCTCCGGACCTGTTAAAGAGTCTGGCTGCCTTGGAGGAGGAGGAAGAGCTGATTTTCTCTAATCCTCCTGATCTTTACCCAGCTCTGCTGGGGCCTCTCGCCTCTCTTCCTGGACGAAGCCTCTTTGTATGTATCTCACTTAATTCTGCTGCTTCTTGCTCTAATTTTGGCATTTCTTTTTCTTTTTTGTTTCCTGCAAGGTTAGTAGAACATGCAAAATCCATAACCCTTGCTGAAGTAGTATTTATGAGGAAATTAAAATTTTAAGAAAGCTCAGGACAACAGAAATCTCCTATAAGTACAGTTATATTATTTCATTGATCCTATGGTTGCTGCTTTCTGATCCAAAATCTGATTAATTCTTTAAAATCCTGGGAAAGAAACTGGTACAATACTCCTCTCACCTGATGTTGGTTTTACTTTCCAGGTTCTCTCTACAGTGAGTAAAAGGAGGAGGCTGCCAGCCTGTAGCAGGAAAATCTGTTCTAGCTGAACATATTTCTGCTCCAGAGCACTGAAGAAGTTAGTCTAAAAATTAGAAAGTGGGGAGAGCAGTGGTGATCAACTGATATAATGAAAGTTCTGTGCCTCTTCTCTCTCCCCCCCCCCCCAAATGCACTACTGAGATTTATGTGAAGTTACTCACAATAGTTCCCATGTAGAGGTGGCAACCTTCCTTAGCCTCTCTCCGTAATGTGATGGCACAAGCACATACACTTCTAGCAGTACCATCTGTCACAAGAAGTGTGGTACTGATGTAGGACACTGCTGATATTTGGGCAAGCACAGTAGCTGAGAGGGTTTTGACTTTTATAGCTGTCACTCAAATCATTAGTAACAGGGAGTGCAGGCTATGTGACTGTTATTTTTAACCCGTGTACATCAGGATGAAACATTTAAAATTCTTAGAATTCTATTTTGTTGTAGAATGTCCATACAATTAAACCCATGGTGTAGACTTTCTACAGCAGTGGTGTCGAACTGTGGCCCTCCAGATGTTCTTGGACTTCAACTCCCAGAAGCCTTCACCACCACCTCTGCTGGCCAGGATTTCTGGGAGTTGAAGGCCAAGAACATCTGGAGGGCCACAGTTGGACACCACTGTTCTACAGTGTCATTTGAGAAACTCGAAACAATTTATCTGTATCTCAGTTTTGCCATGTAGTTTGATAAACAAAAGCAAGCCACTGCACAGAATTTTGCAATCTTGGCTGTGGCTTAAGACTTGAGAGAGCAGAGAGCGAAAAGAGATGTAAAATTTATTGGGTCTATCAGGATAATGTTTTAAAATTAGGGAAATGAGCAGATTGTGTAAATCATTGTAATATGCACAATACAACAGGACATGTTCCACAGTTTCCACCATGCCAGATTGGTAGGGGTAACAGCATTGGTTGTAAGGGATACATGAATATCTTCCATTTGAAAAGGCTGAAGGTAGAGCATTGAAACAGTCCAAGACAAAAGCTGTCTGGTGTTTTGAAAAATTCTGAATTATACCCTGCTGGGGTAAAGATCTTGCTGTGATTCCCAATCACTGAGTAATATGAGACCTACTGTATGCTCTGTTGAGTTGGAGGGATGTATCCCAGATCCATTTCTTAATACTGTAGTTCTGTTGGACGTTTATAAATCTGAAGTGCAACAGGGTTGGAACAGATAGCCCATAGGACAAGTTCCCCTTCACTACTCTTGCTCAGCCTGGGGCATGGGTTATCCATTGAAATCACAGGTGTTAAGCCAATAGGATTAAGTTTTAACTGCAGCCAAGGATTAATTATTTGAAGCCAAGCACTTGCTTCAAGTGGGACTATTCCAATACTCTACTATTCTGAGTAGAGTATTGGGGATACAGTGTGGTTCACAAAAAAAAAAATTCACAAGAACTTAGAGTCTTAGACTGTACTGCCTTATGTATTCATAAGCCTGAACCATACAGAAGTGGGGGGGAGTATCTTGCCTTGGAAGACCTTTAGTACAGATGGTATGTAGGAGCTCCATTTGAGAGAAAGAATCTCAAGAAAGCAGCAATAGTTCTTTCAGCATTTTCAGTGACAGTGGCAGTGTGGTCTTTCCACAGCCCAACTGTCTGAAAAACTACATCTAAATATTTATACGTCTTTACTTGTTCAGTATTGTGTCCATCTATCTGCGACTTGTGCTTGACAGAACATTTGGTGAAAACCAGAATTTTGGTCTTTTGGTAGCTTCTTGGAAGGTGCTCTCAGAACAGTATGCTGTAAAATCTCAAAGGTACTAACCAACTGGGACAAAAATATCTCAGTAACTCTTTGCTCTTCTTAGTGGTCTCTGTGAATGCACACAAATGGGTTATCCTGCGCCTGCGCAGGAACGTCCGGAAGATTCTAGAGCTTAAGAAAAGAGTCAGTTAGCTTCCCCCCCCCCGGTGGGGTATATAAGCCCCGCCTCCTCCATCTTTCTTTCAGTTCCTCTTTTTCCAGCGTTCCTGTAGGACGTAGGAAGAGCAGAGCTATCGACCGTTAAGTACTTAGCTAGCTAGCTATCTCTTTTTCTTGCTTAATCATTCTTTTATTTTACTTTAACGGTTACTTGATAGAACCTGCTATTCAAGTGCAGGTTTCCCCTCCCCGATCAATGGATCCCCTTTTTTCTTTTGTTTATGGCCCCTCGGGGCTTCAAGCAGTGTGTCATCTGCTCCCCAAAAATTCCCTTATCAGACGGGCACGATAAATGCTTGTTTTGTCTTGGAGAATTACATCAAGATCAGTCCTGCACTGCTTGCAAGGCTTTTTCAAAGCAAGCAATTAAGTTGAGGCGCCAAACACTTCGAGCTTTCCTTTACGAAAAGACTCTGTCTCCAAACATAGAAAGCGCCTCCCTCACAGCACTGTCCCCGCCGTGTGTTGAGGCTTCTAAACAAGACTCTTCGTCTGATCAACCGCTGCTTACCGTCTCTGTGCCGGTTAAGGCTAAGGATGCTTCCAAACCGCCAAAAGCCAAACTGCCTTCACGCCCTGCAAAAAAGAAAGCTACCAATAGAAACCAGCTAAGTTGCCTGTTGTACCTCCTCCCACTCCTTCAATATTGCTCGAGGAGTCTTCAAGGGAAGCAATTGGACTCTCTGATACAGAGGAGCACATTCCTTTAGCCCAGACGGCTCAAGAGCATATGTGCATGCTACCAAACTCGGGCCGATTTGAGGCTGAGCCGGATGCCAGCCAGGCTGTTGCCCATTCAAGCCCTCGATACTCATGGCAGTCTGATACCGAGTTTCCATCTGAACAGGAGTCTGATCGTGAAACTCCTAGGAAGCATACTGCAAAGCGCAAAAATACCGCTCCGTGCCAGCCTCAGGATGGAGGCGATGGGTACCATCCGCAAGGACTACCACAGTTTGGCCACTCTTTTATGCTCCATTCCAATCGTGTCCGTACCCAGGCTACGCCTACCAGCCGGAGCTGCAGGCACAAGTACCGTGGCACCATACCGTGGCTTCCTCTATCCCGTGTCAGCCACATACTCAACAGGAATTTTCTACACCTCAAGCACCATCTCGTAAGAGGCAATTTCCCACGGTACCTACAGCACTTC